AAAAAAAAAAAAAAAGAACTTTTCATAATACAAGTTAATTAAGCCATCCACATACAAGGGCTTCTTTTTGAATATTTATACACTGAATAATAGCTGTGCACAATAAACGGAACAAGAAAACTGTATAGCTTCATATTTGAAGAAAAGAGATGTGAGAAAATGATCTAAATTATAGCATTAAATAAGATTTTTAATTTCAGGAAAATTGTAACTCAATTTTATGAAGAGAATCAATTATTATACTAAAAGGTAGCATATTTTATGTACTATTTTCTTGAAGGGTAAAATAGTTTGAGGACAAACAATAATTATCATACTATAAATTGGATGGACAAAATTGTCCTTGAAAAAGCAGACAGAACTAATTGACTCTTGCTATTGTGTATAAACTAATTAGATATACAGTATAATATTTTTGTTTAATACACATAACTTAATTAAATGATTAAGATATGGTGAAATTCTACCAAAAAAAATAATTTCTTCAACTTTCCCCTCGTAGAAAATCCCCTCCGCTTGTTTAACCGCTCTACATTTTTTTATCCTTTCATTCTAGAAGTAGAACGCTCATGGTTTTCTAAGCAACCACTTGTACTTGAAATTCATTATTAACTAGAGATGAAGATAAAAGAGGAAACAAGCATGAGAAGACAGGTTAGAGTATGAAGTAGCTAGCTGTGATTAGATGGGTAATGGCTTTTCTAAAACTTAACATACTGGAATAAATGAGTTATTCAAGGTCATGTGAATATATGTTTTTTCTCCCCAATAAATTTACCCAGGAAAATAAATTTGACTACACCTAATTGGGCTGGGGGAACATGTGCCTTACTGCTGATATGCTCCTGATTACTCCCACCTAACCACAATTAAAAAAGGAGGGAGACATAAACCTTAATTATAAGGATGCCAGTGTGTTGCACTCATAGTTGGTCAAGAAAGAGAGTTCATTAATTATCATTTATCATTATGGTTAAGGGTGTCACTGGACCGGTTTTGGATTGGACCCCATCCAGTTCAAACGGATTGGATGGACCAACAAAGACATATTGGATTGGATCAATTCAGTCTAAAATATTTTTTAGATTGGATTGGACCTGGTCCATCCCTAATAAATTTATATTGAATTGAATTGGATTAAGCCAATATTTAGTCCATTGATGTAAGATAAGAATATATGTGTCAATGGACCAGGTCATAATGAATTTGAACAGATTAGATGGTCCAGACATTGAATTGGACCGATCCAAATTTGTCCAAATAATTCATTGGATTGGATTGGACTTGATCCATTTATAATGGGCTCACATTGGACTGGATTGGATTGGACCAAATCCAGTCCAATCGACACCCCTAATTATGGTGTTGTAACAAAAATAGTTCTACTTTTTCTAACCTTACTATTGTTATGAGCAGTATTTTCAAAACCAGACCGGATCGGATGCTCAGACAAGAAAAACTGGTTCCGTTTCACCCCAAAGTTGTTTTTGGTCAAAAACTATTGATTTGGTCAGTGAGCTGTTGACTCAGGCGATTAAACCATCGAACCATCAACCTGGATAACAGTTTTTGGCCTTTTTTATTTTTTTATTTCTTTGTCAGAATGAGTCATCCATTCAAAGCGAACAGTCAGACTATACAACCAAGGAACCTGTTCTCAGAACAGTTCCCTATCCGATCTGATTTTAAAAACCTTGGTTATTTTCTGTGGCATTTCTTTTTTTTTTTTTTGTTCTTTACTTTTAATATATGCAAAAATTGTATGGTATAGAACGGCAAGTTTCCATTATTGTCATGTGGAAACATTATTTTCCCATAAAAATGTTTCATTTTTTGAAAAATATGGAAATTATCTGACAGGTTATAACAGATAGAGAAAGGAAATTGAAAGGATTCATTCTAACCACTTAGCATAGACATTTAAAACAAAAAATCTAGACAATACATAATTGAAAAACATCTATTTAAACACCCAAAATGGTGACGCTGTTCCCAATTAATTTGTGGAGTTATATGTGTTTCTTAAACACGTTAAAGGAGGATTTCAACTATTGAGCTCAAATACGTATACATTTTATGCAATAATAGTAAATTGTATGTTCTCATGTCAACCAGAAACAAGCATATTAATACGATATTGTGACCAAATAATCTATATATATATATATGAAGAGGATGGACTGGATATATATACCACCAAGAAATGGGCCCACCCATAGTTAATCAAATTCTGAAGAAAAGGTACTTTCATTCAGATTTATTTGTATGTAAGGCTCAGTTTGGAAGGAGTATAAATACAAAATTTGTAGAAGTATAAAATTTTATATTATTTTGTATGTATTTATACTGTACATATTTATATTTGATACTTCTTCCAAACTGAAACTAAGGGAATCATCTAAAATGTCTAATCCTTTAAGTTTTCAAAGTAAAAGGATGGATTAATTTGACATAGGCGGGTGCTATAAGGCTACCATTTGGTCTGGTCAAACTCTGCTATCTGCTACAAATGACCTACAGACATTTGTAACATTGTATTGAGCTATCACAGACATGCATGTCCCAAGATTCTAGCATTTTGGCCAGTATCCCTCTTATGAGTTTCATTGTTGCAACGGTTTCACATTCTCGGGGATAGAAAATTTCAAAGTCAATCAAAAGGACTAAGCATGCATTGTGACAAGTCCA